GGGGGGGGGGGGGGGGGGGGGGGGGGGGGGGGGGGGGGGGGGGGGGGGGAGGGTAGCGCAGGAGGAAGAGCAAAAAGAAGGGAATTATTCAGTCGTGGTTGTTCGAGATGCCATTCAAATGCGACCATCCAAGCAAAAAGCAGCACACACACACACACACAAAAAAAAAAACGGAGACAAGGGAGGCAAGCCAGCGGGCAACGTGACAGCCTTCGTCTACTGTGCAGCCCACAGCAGTTCCTACCACGAACCACCGCACGCAGAACGTCAGCAGAACATTGGTGCCTACAAAACAGGCCCTCCGGCAGCGTTCTCTTGACAAACAACACGCCCAATGCGCCACGCCGCCGTCTGCACACCAGCGCGCCCTGTAGGCTCTACTACTGGCTCCCGACTCACGCGCGTCGCGGTCTTGCCCCCCTGTCCCTGAGACGCAGGCGACGCTGCTACTGGGGCTGCTGGTACTGCTGCTGGTGCTGCTGCTGGTGCTGCTGGTGCTGCTGCGGTAGCAGTCGTTCTCTTCCCCTGTGCCGCGGAAGGTGCCACCCCTGGATCCTTCCCATCGGACGGCAACGGGCGCTGCTTCGACAACACACCCACACCACACACACATGCGCGCACAAACGGTAAGCAGCGAGCGACACCCAAACAACACACGCGCGCGCACAAACGGTTAGCAGCGACACCCAAACCACACACGCACGCGCACAAACGGTTATCAGCGCGGTTGACGCTAGTTAACAAAACGCAAACCCCGCAGCACACCCGCGAAGAGCGGACAGCACCAGCACACGGTAAACACCTGCCAGCGTTTTTTTATTCGTCCCGTTCTAGGAACGAATCCGATCCGAGAGGCATTGTTGTGTCATCGGCGAGCCGGTGAGAGCGAGCGGTGCGGCGTGCCAAGAAGAGAGGAGGCCACTCGGCACGGGCCTCGAGCGGGCATCCTTGTGTCGCAACAGGTACATGTAGGGTGCGTGTCTCCAGTGCTGTCTGTTTCGCGACATGCGCGACAGCAACTGCAAGCCTCTGCGTCACAGGATGGACCAAGAGGAAGAAGAGGCAGAGTAGACAAAAAGCCCGACAGAGACAGACGCCGTCTACACTTTGCCCACGGTCTCTTGCACCCACGGAAGCGGCGACTTGCAGCAGACCCTCCCTTTGCGGTCGAGCGCACAATGCCATCTCAAAACCAAACACGGAAAACAAACTGCTCAAACAGGTAGACGCACTGCTCCTACGTCGTCTATCGCGAGCCTCCGTCGCGCTGAAACAAAACACAAACAAAAGAAACTCAAACCCGTCGGGCACGGCATAATACGCTACAAGTTGCCCTTCACCTCCTCACTTTTCTCGACGCCGCGGCGCCCCCCCTCGAGGACTCCTGAGCGCCGCCGCCGCCGCCTGTGACGTCTTCCCACCGGCCCGCGGAGCTGCGTTCCTCGCCGCATTCCGCTGCCGCTGCCGGCGGCGATGGCGGCGGAGGTGTCGCCGCTCTCCCAGCAGCGCTACCCTCTTCCCGTGCTCTCGCCGCCGGCGGCGACGACGGCGGCGACGACGACTCCTTGGTCGACAGGCGGCGATGCCGTGCGGCGAACGGGTTTCCCTTCGCGGCGGTGGCGAGGGCGGCGGCGATGGTCGCAGCCCGTTCCACGTTGGCGGCTCTCTCTAGGTCGATGCCGGGAAGCCGGGAGGCCGACGTTGTTGCCGGTGCCACCTGCGGGGGGGGGGGCGGGGAACTTGCCGACACGGGCGGGAGCATCGGGAGAGGCAAGTTCATCCGCGGCCCCACCCCGGGATACGTCGCTGGCGCGGTGGCTCCCATTCCCCTCGCAGAGTCGTATGCTCCGCCGCCGCTCTCGTTGCCCAACGAGTTGGTGTACGAGAGAGGAATAGGAGACGGTTGCAGCGCGGCCACCGCCGCCGCCGCCGCCGCTGCTGCTGCTGCTACCGCCGCCGCCACCGACGGCGCCGGCGGTGTGCTTGTCGCCGGCGGGGGCGCTATCCCGACGGCGCCCCCCCCGGTCACCGACTCGATCGCGTAAGCGGCGGCGGCGGCGGGCATGCCTACAGCGGCGAGGTCCGGGCGGCGGTTGATGGTGGAGGAGATGGCCGACACATCGACATCCCCGTCTTCTCCAGCGGGGGACATAGGGTCGTCCATGCTCGCGCCGAAGGCAAGCGCCAGGTCGGAGGTGGGCACGAGGCTCGAGCCGGCATCGTTCAAACTGACAAAGGTACCGAAGGAAAAGGGGCAAGCGCCGGATGAACAGCGGAGTGAGATTCAGGCCGGGGCAGGGCGGGGGGTGCAGTGTACACTGGCTGATTCCCACCCCGGACTCTCGAACGAAATCGAAACCATCCCCCAAGTCGAGACGGAAGAAAACGAAGAGAAATGGGGTCTTCGCGCGCATGTTTGTTGTGTAAGTATCTCCATCGCTGGCATTTGTCGACCACCGAGTCTGGCGCTAGGCCACGGTCTGCCGCAACCGGCCGGCCACATGCAGTAAGCCACCACCCGGGAATAATATGTGTCATTGGGCGGCAAGCTGTTAACGCGTTGGACAAAGCTGCTATGGACACTGAACAACAGCAGCATGTGTCACCTCACGGCAGAACCCTACTGTAATGCTGTAGCGCGAAAGCTTCAAAGGCTCAAAGTCACCCCGCGCCATATCTCCGCCGCCCTTACCCGCCGTCCGACACCCTGGAGGCGGCTACCATCTTCGCCGCGCTCATATGAGCCTTCTGGATCTTCATGAGCCCGTTCATGTCTTTCTGCAGCGGTCGTGAGACAGACAGAGGCAGAGACAGAGACGTGGAAGCCGAACGAACGCAGCAGCAGCAGCAGCAGCAGCAGCAGGCCCGTGTGAAGACAGGATGGGGGCGTATCGTCATTGTGTTCTGATTTATCATAAGGTGCGGTTGTTTTTGATTTCGTCGTTCATACTGCGGCCAAATCCAAACACACGAAAAAGCTAGCCAAGACGTCAAGCGAGATTTTGTAGGCGTAGATGACCCCGTCCGACGGTCCCCCATTACAAGAAACACAGAAAAATCAGACAAGACAGGGTGGTTTCTCGACCAGCAAAATCATCACAGTCAAAAACAACACTCAAAAACAACGTCCTTCGTCGCAGAAAAACAAGACACACGGGCAGGCCTTCGAAGACAGGCAGCGAGGTAGCAGACCTTAGGAGGCAGCGTGGAGACCTTGGCTGACCCGGCCTGCCTCAGGCCCGCTATCCTCTTGGCCTCCAGCGCCGAGGCGGCCGCCTGCCGCCTCGCCTCCGAGCTCCAGTGCAGAACGTTCGTGCTCTGCGGCATGATAACCTGGAGAGCGGTTTCACCACGGCACATGATAAGAGAGAGAGAGCGAGGGAACATGACCGAGGGGTGTACAGCTGTTTAGAAACATAAGTACAGGTGAGAAGGCAACACGAAAAATAAAGCACAGCGTGTCCGTTGATTGGTTCCAGGTGTGTTGTGGCAGTCAGGAAAGCGGTCCTTAAACCAGGAGAAAACATGTTCTTGTTCGATTGTATATTCATGAAATCAAAGGCACCTCAACATGAGATGAACGTCTAATTTTCCAATGTGTTGTCGTCCGATGATGATGATTCCTTGAGTTGTGGCCTGAACTACCTCTTTCCCTCTTCACAGAGGGAGGGGGGGCAAACCGACCACCCTCGTCCCCCATCGTCGCATCACGTCGAATTCTACCGCCCGCTCGCCACGGGGGTAATTTAACTTGCCTGCATCCCGGGGCCACTGTGAACCATGCAGAACGTAGGCTGCTCCCCGGCAAAGCCGTACGTGGGAATCTCCAGACAGTCGTCCATCTGCGACAAACACACGGGACAACAGAACCGCGAGAGCGGCGGCGGCGGCGGCGGCGGCGGTGGCGACAGTGGAGTTACGCACAAAAGCTAAAAAGCAACGTTACGAGAGCAGGAAAAAAGCAGTACTGCTGTGCACACAGAAAACTGGCCTGATTCGTGAGAAAAAACTTCCAGCGGCAGGAGTCTCTGTTAAGAACCTCCTGCAACCAGGTGTGTTTGTACCATCGACAGGAGAGCTGAGCACCTGAGCAGCGGACAAAGCCACAACGACACAGCTAGCCTAGGTCACCACGGCCGCTTTTCGTCCAGCGAAGACAAGAAGGCGAACAATGACAATCACACATACGCAGTACTTCGAAGGGTTGCATACCGGTGTGTCTTCGTTCCCTCTCTCTTTTCCATCACACAAACCTTTGGGGAAGCTCGTGGTTTTGTTGTGGCTGCACCGCCTACGAGCTTGTCGCGCCACCGACCAGCGCGCGTCCGTGTGCTCCGAAAATTGACCAACAAACAAGAGAGCGACAACGACTACAACTCACGCTGCACTGCGGGTTGAGGACGTCCACCATCCCCTCCAGAGCGTGCACGGCGCAATACACGGCCATTTCGTTGGGGTAGGCGAAGCGGCACGCGCGGTTGCAAGTGACCACCCTCCTGCTCTTTTTCTTGATGGGAGGCGCCCCCTTGCCGTTGCGGGTACCGCGGCCGCAGCCTTTGCCGCTGGTGTCCTCCTCCTCCTCCTCGTCCGGCTTGGGCTTTCCCCTGTGCTTGCAGCGGAACGCGCGGGTCTTCACCAGCACGCACGCACGCAAGATAAAGAGATTTGAGGGAAAAGAGAGAGCAGACAACCAGACAGACAGAGACAGAGACAGACAGATAGAAGCACAGAGAGGGGGGGGAGGAGAGGGGAGAAGATAGAGAGACAGAGAGACAGAGAGACAGAGAGATAGAAGCAGGAAGAGGGGGAGAGGGAGAGAGAGAAGCAGATAGACAGACAGACAGAAAGAGCGAGAGAGGAAGAAGGAGAGAGAGAAACGTCAATCATCCGACACTTCGAGTACGAACACAATATATGTGAACTAGCTTTGTTCCTTTTTTTTGTCTGTCGGGGGGCTCTATCCTCGTGACATGACGCACTTGGAGCGACGGGAAGAGTCGTACCGACCTTCGCGTAACACGTCGCCTGCCTTCCACCCCCATCCCCGATCCCCGCCCTCGCTTGCGCGCTACAGCTGGTTCTTTCGCCCTCTTGACCTCTCCACCCCCCCCCTCTGACTATGCTGTATGTAGGAACCATGCCCCCGACGAAGGATGCCTTAGCGAATTGTCTGCTGCTGGCGAAGGGAGGCACCTGACTACATGGAGTTCGTCCGCCCCCCCCCCCCCCCCCCCC